CATTGCTGCTGTCTACTGTCCACCTCGCTTTACAATCTCTGAAGGTCAATTCATGGATTTTTACAACTCTCTTGAGATCGATTTATAGCTGCAGGAGATTACAAAGCCAAGCATACGCATTGGGGATCCCGCCTCGTGACCCCCAAGGGAAGACAACTGTATAAAGCTCTCATCAATGTGAGAAATAAGCTGGACTACGTTTCCCCTGGTAGCCCCACATATTGGCCAGCATCCCACGCAATTTAATAAACGCCAAGGCCCTTCCAGACCTTTCTTCAGATCACTCGCCGCTGTTGATAACCCTCCTTCAAAGCCCAGAAACTACGGATCGCCCCGATAGGCTGACGTCGCACAGAACCAATTGGATGAAATACAAAAAGTATGTGAGTTCCCACAGTGAGCTAGCCCCCAGCTCAATACTGAAAACCGACATCGACTCCTCCACCTCCGCACTGGAAAAGGTACTTGTGACTGCAGCCAGAATCTCAACACCACAACAGACGGATGTGCAAAAATCAAATTCAAAACGAACCAGCAAATTGAACAGCTTATCCAAGAAAAGAGGCGCGTCTGCGACGGGCGTGGCAAACCAATAGATCGCCATGCACAAAGCAACGTCTAAATGAAGCCACACGCAAACTAAGCCGGGCCCTGAAGCAAGATGCCGAAAAGCACAATTAAGATATATTGAAAAACTCTCGCCAACCAGCACAAAGCATCCCTTATGGAGAGCTCACCCAAATTTAAGCTCACCGGCTGACCCCTTAACCCCCGATAAGAAAGTCATCTGGTTGGGGCCCGCAGCGACAAAGACAGAGCCGAAACTTTTGCCTCACATCTCCAGGGCGTTTTCCAGCCGAACCCTGCTGCAAATCCATTTAACCTACCGCAGATCCACACTGAAACGGAATCTACTCCAGCATCATTTCGTCCGAACGAAATAACGAAGGTCATCAGGGAACTGAAGCCGAAAAAGGCTCCCGGCGATGACCTAATAACTCAAAAAATGATAATTGAACTTCCGAATTGTGCGATTGAGGTCATCTGTAAAATCTTCAATGGGATCATAAGTCTCGGCCATTACCCAACAAAATGGAAAAAATCTATAATTATAATGATACCGAAGCCCGGAAAAGACCACACGATTCCGTCATCTTACCGACCACTAAGTCTACTATCATGCTTGTCCAAGTTATTTGAAGAATGCCTACTAAAGCGCATAATTCCTTATCTGGGAGCTCACAACATCATCCCAGCTTATCAATTTGGCTTGTAAGGAAGCGTCTGGGCGGCCGGGGGTGATCCTCAGCGGCCCAGAGTCCCCTCACAAAATGTATAATTTGTGAGACACCCAGAACGGAGAAGCGCCGATAATTTTCTGGCCAGCTAGCGGGGAAAATGGGGAAGAAATATATTTGTATGGGGTTATTTGGCCAGGGAGAGCTGGGCGACCCGGAATAATCCAGCGGTCAAGCCCACGTCAGCGCCCGGAATTATTCAGCGGCGAGACGAGCGGCCCGGAGTTATCCAGCGGCCACGCCCACGCCCACGCTCGGAGTGATCCAGCAGCGGGGCGCCTTCGGGGCAGGACAAAGGCTCGGAGGGATCCAGCAGCCAAGGCCTGTGTCCACGCTCGGAGGAATCCAGCAACGGGACCACTGACTCGGAGAAAATCCAGCAGTCAGCCCCGAATCCTCACCCGGAAGAATCCAGCGGCAGGATTGCTCAGAGGGCTCGGAATGATCCAGCAACCACGCCTACGCCCACGCTCGGAAGGATCCAGCAGCGCGGCGTCCGTTGGGACAGGACAAAGGCTCGGAGAGATCCAGCAGCCGATGCCTGCGTCCACGCTCGGAGGAATCCAGCAGCGGGACAGTTGGTTCGGAAAATCCAGCGACCAACCCCAGATCCTCGCCCGGAAAAAATCCAGCGGCGGGATGGCTCTCTGATGGGCAAAGGGGAAAGGGGGACCGGCGGCCTCGCGGTGAGTCCGGGCTCGAAAGATCCAGCAGCCACGGGCTCCTGTTCCGTCGGCTTTCGCCCGCACCGAATTACTCCGATGCTACGGGGAAAGCGGGAGGGGATCACTGCCGGCGAGGGCGCCGGCCCTGCAAACGAAGGCAGGGAAAACGCACAATTTGATGCAAGCACATGGTTTTCTAATTATATTTTATTCTCAATTAAAGTTACTGTGGCAAGGGGCGGGGTAGATCCCAATATATTTAATGGCCGGCGGCCATGCTCACCCACGATTCGAAGCGGATGCCTTCGAAGGTCCTGCAGGATGTTTCCTTGACACGAACACGCGGTTTGCACTTAAACTTGTTCACTCCGGAGCGGCACGACTTGCGCGGTTAAGAATTAGGCGAGGATTAAATTGACCTAATTTTCCGAGTGTGGCCGTGACCTAGTTTCTGCCGGCAGCGCTGCCGCGATCGATCTTGGCGTTGCCAGGCTCTGCCACTATCGCCGACAGCGTTGCCACTTGCGCGTAATGTTAAGGCTTAATGCTTGTTTTGAATTTCCCTTCGCGGGGCTTATTTGGCTTCATGCCGTTGGCTTCATGCCGGGTGATGTGTGTGTGTGTGTGTGTGTGTGTGTGTGTGCGTGTGTATGGCTTCGTGCCGGGTGGTGTGTGTGTGTGCGTGTGCTTAATTTTTAGTCTTAATTTTAGTCTTAATTTTAGGTATCGTAATTATAAGCTTAGATTTTACATATATACATACCGATCGTGTCGTCACACTCCCTCCTCACTTCCGGGTGGGGTGTAGGAAGACCCGGACGTGGTCGTCCCGATTCAACTGAACCCGGAATCGCTGACCCTGCTCCTCCTCTAGATAGCGCCGGGCCCTCCGTCTGGCGATTAAGTCGCTGCTGGATCCTCCGGATGAGCCCGGCGGGTAGCGTGCCGTTGGGCGTGCTCCAGCCGTCGGGAACTGGTAGCCAGCGGGCGTGACCCTGGCGATCGCGTGGCAGCTCCTCCTCGGACGAGGATCCGCTGGGACTATCCGCCCAGGGTGCGCTCCGTCGGCGGCCTCGGCGTGCTGGTGCTGGTGTGGTGGCCGGTCCCTGGCCGAACGTGGCTCCGGGTTTGTTGGCCGAACCGGCCCGGCGGAAGACGAGCCCAGCTCGTCACTCAGCTCCTCGGCCCTGCGTCGGGCCACTGCCGCGGCGTATTCGCCGGGTATGGGTAGCGGGGGGCGAGTCGGTACGGCCACGGCTGGTCTCTCGCTGGCGGAGTCCTCGTTGGCGGAGTCCTCGTCGGTCGTCAAGTCGACGAGTCGGCTTGTCGCTGGGCCATCTGCCCGGCGTGGAGCGGCGGCTGCGTGGTACCCGCGTGACGTGTCGGCGGTGACTGGCTCGGCGTTGAGGCCGCGCAAGTGGGTATCGGGCAGCTGGTGGCATATGGGCCTGGCCCGAAGATATCCTCGTACGCCGGAGGCGGGGTGCCCGGCGGTCTGAAGCTTGGCTCGGCGTCGTCGGAGTCTGAGATCTGGATGATCTCGGCCGCCACTCCCTCGTCGCTGGATATCTCCTCATAGTCCGGCTGGAATTGAGGTGACGGGGTCCTTGGCTCGTCGGTGGATTGATTGGAGACAGGGCGCGTTGGGAGCTCTACCCCGTCCTCGTCGGGGACTCCCCGAAAAGGTCCTCCAGGTCTAATCCTTCTGCCCCGCGGGCCATCTCCTCCAGTACGTCGGGTGGAAGGTCGCCTAGGCACTCGTAGCGCCGCTTCCTCGCCGTCTGGGTCTGGTGCTGCTACAGCCTGGACTGCGCGTGTCCCAGGCGCTGTAGGGGTCGGGCCGGTGCGTGCGCGTGCCGCAGTGAGGGCAACCCGCGGCGTCGCCCGTGGTGATGGGGTCGCGTGGCCGGTAGCCATTGTGGTGGCCCGACCGGTGTGCGGGCGAGTTGATGGAGCGGTTGCTCGAGGTGCTGCCCGTGGTGGCTGCCCTTTGCCGGTGGGCGTCGTGGGCAACTGGCCAGTGTGTGGACGCGTCGACGGGCCGGCTGTCTCTGGCGCTGCCCGTGGTGATGGCCTCCCTTCTGTGGTCTGCTTCTGGGTGGCCTGAGTTGATGGAGCCCGGGTCGTGTGTAGCGGGACCAAAGGCGGCGGCCCCTGATCCGTGTTGGGCTGCTTGCCCTGGTCAGCCGGCGTGTGGGCGGCCTCGACTGGCCGTGGTCGTGGCGGGGTGGTGTCCACCCGTATTGGGCCGAACCGGTGATCCGGCGGGACGTCTACCTGCTCCGCGGACGGGATTCGTCTGCGGATTCCGGCCACACTGAGTGGCGTGAGGGGTGACGGTTGAGGCCGATGCCCCATCTGGAGACCGTCCAGCAGCTCCTCAAGGGCGAGCCCCATCCAGGCGTCGTCCCTGGGCGATGACATCGTGGTGACCCTTGCTTGGCGAGATCGTTGGTCCGGGTGGTGGCGATGCGGCCGTGCTCGGGATCGTGGGCGGGGTGCGAAGCGCGTGTGATCAGCGCTGCCGTGCGCTGGATCCTCGAGGGTGCGTGTATTCGCTGGCGGTTGCCTGTGGGCGGTGGGTCGCGTCTCTGTTGCTGCTTGCTGTTTGCACCGTGTGCGTTCGTGATGCGTGATGATCGATGTGTCTGTGGAGAGAAAAGAGCAAAAGAGACGGCGTTGTTAGGGGGCGCTTTCGAAGGACCCTACCCAACCGAGAGTTGCTCGATTTCTAAGTTTTGCGAAAGAGAGGGCGCATGTTTCCCCTAGGGGGTAGGAGCGTTGGACAGGCGCGCCTGTCAGCAAGTGGCCCCTCTGAACATGGCCATCTTTCGATCTGGGCGTGGCATAGTGGCGGCGGCGGAGTGGGGGGCGTGGCTTAGTGGCGGCGGCGTGGAGTGGGGTGGTTCTCCCCAGGGCTCGTGTCGGCGGAGTCTGATTGCTTTGGGTTGTGTGTCCTCGGCGTGGTCTTCCTCGTAGTCGCTGTCATCGATCGCGCCTTCGGCGTGGTCATCTGCTTCTCCCTGTCGGTAGGGTTTCAGCTGCCCCAAACTCGCAGTACGACGTCAACGGCTGCCGGGTACGTGTAGCTGGACGATGTTTGGTGAAGGGAACTTCGCCACTCGGAAGGGTCCTCGTATCTCGCGGCCAGTTTGGCGGCGAATCCTTCAGCAGCGTTGGAGAGCGCGTGGCGTCTCACCAGCACTAGAGATCCTACAGGCGGCTTCCAAATCCGTCGGCGCAGATTATAGTGTCGGCCCTGATCCGCCGTAGCGCGTTCAGCGTTGTCTCGCACGACTCGGAAGATGTCTTTCAGCTGCTGGCTTCGGTCCGTTGGGGCCACCTCTGGGGTGCCTCGTCCTGGTGTGAGCTCGTCGTAGAGAGTCCGTGGCAGCCTCGGTTCTCGCCCTTGCGTCAGGAAAGCTGGGCTAAATCCTGTTGTGTCGGAGATACTGCTGTTGATGGCCAGGGAGATTTCCGGCAACAACTGGTCCCATGTGCTCTGCGGGCCTCCATCCAGGTACTGGGCGATCATCGTCTTGATCGTCCTGTTGGCTCTCTCCGTCGGGTTCTGCCTTGGCGTATACGGCGCCGTGTGCTGCAGCTCCATGCCCAGCGATTTGCAGAAGTTCGGAAAAGATCGCCCTGTGAACTGCGTGCCGTTGTCGCAGACGAAGGTCCTCGGCACTCTGCTCAGGATCCGTTCCCGAAAAGCGCGTTCAAGCTGTGCTCCAGTGGCTTTCCGGAGTGGCACCAACTCCACCCACTTGCTGAAAGCATCCAGAAACACCAACAGCATGGTGTTGCCTTGCTTAGATCGGGGAAGCGGTCCAACGAAGTCCGCGCAGAGAACCTGGAATGGCTCGTCGACCTGGCGGGTGAACATCATCCCCGCAGGTTTCTCCTGGCTTACCTTGAACTTCTGGCAACTCGTATAGTGACGAACATAGCGCGCGACGTCGCGAAACAAACCCGGCCAATAGTAACGCTGAGCCACGCGATTACTAGTCTTCCGGATTCCCAAGTGTCCGGCGGTTGGGTGGTCATGGCATTCCTCGAGGACGCGTTGGCGGTAATCCGACCCAACGCACAGCTTCCATGGCGTATACTCCTCCTCTTCTGGCTGAAGACCAATGCGGCGATAGAGTTGTCCGTTCTCCTCCCTGTAGTCGGGGAACTTGGCGGGTTCTGTCCGCATCTTCTGAAGCATCTTCTTGATCCAGCGGCAGTTGACTCCTTGTACCTGTGCTTGCTGCGCGGTAGGCAGCGGTTGGCGAGAAAGGGCGTCGGCCACAAGATTTTGGGCCCCTTTCCGGTAATGGACGTCATACTGGTACTGCTGCAACTCGAATTCAGCCATTTCAGCGAGTGATGATCCGTCACCACGTCGAAACGGTACCCCTCGAGGTAGCATCGCATCTTCCTGATTGCCCAGACGATGGCGAGGCACTCCTTCTCCGTAACGGAGTAGTTCCTCTCGGCCGGGTTGAGCCGGCGGCTGGCGTAAGCGACAACTCTCTCCTGTCCCTCGATGGTCTGCGTCAGTACGGCTCCTATTCCGTACTCGCTGGCATCCGTCTGTAGAACGAACTTCTGGCCGAAATCCGGACAGGCCAAGACCGGTGCCTTTGTTGGTAGCGCCTTCAGCTCCTGAAAAGCGTGATCCTGCCTCGATGTCCACTCCCAATTTTGGCCTTTCTTCAGCAACGCGGTCATGGGTTCGACCACGTCGGCGAAGTTTGGAACAAAACGGCGATACCAGGATGAAATCCCAAGGCACCTCCGGAGCTCCTTTAGGCAAGTTGGTGGCTTCAGCTCGCGGATCGCGGCAACTTTGTCCGGATCTGTATGGATGCCCGCCTCCCTGATCAAATGTCCCAGGTAGACGATGTGGCGTTGGAAGAAGTGGCACTTCCCTCGATTCAGGCGCAAGTTGGACACAGGTGTGTGAAGTCGCGGTGAACGGACGCCCGCGCGGGCGCTCCGGCTAAGTCTCGTGCTGTGGCAGTGCCCCTAGGGGAAAAAGTGGTAGCAGTGCGCGGGATGCAGGATGAGGGCTGTCTCCAGACTTACCTGTCGAGGCACGGCTCCTGCGGTCCGCGGAGGGCAATTCTGTGCCCCTATGCTCCGGTGAGATGGTCGACGGCCAGGGGGAAGGGGGATCTTTTCTTCCGAAACTTTCTCTTTTATCTCTTTAGTTGCCGCCCTCTCTTTGTGGGCCAAAATGTGGATGCCTCCACATATTTGTGCTGGTCACGCCAGCTGATTGCTCGATCAGCTGGCGTGCAGTGTAGTGAAGCGAGCGCAATGCAGCTGTGTGGCAGCACTGCAGCGCCGATGCACTATACATGCGCACATTAGCGCCACCTATGGTGTAAAAAACCCCGGCACGTGACAGAAGCTGCTTGCTACAAGCTTCAGCTAACGATCGCTGCGGAATCCGTAGCATATATTCCCGGGCTGCTGCCCGGAAGTCCTTGGCAAGGAGTCGGAATTTGGCCATGTTCCGTCGGAATTGAGGTTCGCACGTTGCCAAATGGTGGAAAAGGTCACGGATCCGACCGACTGCCATCCCCTCCGCCCTGGCGGTACACCCAAAGGGGCTCTGGCGACCGAGGCGGGGCGGTATAACCCCATCAGTTAGAAGTCGGAGGGAAATATTCGACCAGCGAGGGGAGGCTCCGTGTCGTCCCGACCTGGTGGAAGTGACCGCCACACCCAATCGACTTAATCCACGCAGCGTCTGCCCATACTGGGCGGCTGCGTGATCTGCGTCTGCGCCATAGTGGCCGGCAGTGGAACTAACCTGGCAGCAGGTATCAGCTGCACACTAACCCAAACCCAGGTAGCGTCTGACCCACATTGGGCGGCTACTTGGTCTGCGTCTGTGCCATAGTGGCCGGCAGTTTATTACCCACCTGGCAGAAGGTATAAAATGCAGCCCCGCATTGGGCAATAATGCGCAAAAAAGGAATGTCGAGTAATAACAATACTACTCCAGGTGGCAGCCACAAATGTGGAAATCCACCCGCGGTTGATCCCGCGGCAAGGGGCACGGATTCTGGAGGCCCTAATCCACATTCCAACCCACACTGCAGCTCCGGCGGCCCACTTGGCCGGTGCTCTTTCAACAGCGACAAGTGAAGATGGAAACGACTTGGGAGCCTTTCAAAGGCGGTCCAAGCTGCAGCGAACCCCACCTAGCGGAGGCCCTACGGCGTCTGGCCAAGACTCTGAGATAGCCCTGGAGCCAATCGGTCGGGAGACGAGTTCGTCGACCCCACACACCAAGAGAGTAAGAGACTCCCCTAGCCCCCCTGTGACGGCCCACCCACGGAAGAAGATCAAGGCGCCCAATCCGCAGATTAAAGAGATGGGCCAGATCCTGGATGACTTGTTAGCCAAGGTTAACGAGCAGAAAGTCCGAAGCATAAACCAGGCCATGAAGAATGCCTTTGCGCGACTAAAGGAGCTCCAGGAGGAGATTTCGCTGCTAGAGGGGAAGGATAGGGATGATGGCGTTGCCATCGGAGTTGCTGACCAGTGGAGCCAGACCGCGCCACCGATGACCCGGGCCCAGCCCACGGCGGAGAAGCTGCTCAGACTTCTCCAAAAGGTCGTCCCCGTCCCGCCAGCCGTAACCCCGGTGTGGCCCCACCGGTCGCACAAACACGCGCCCCCACCCAGGGTTCCCACCAAAACGCCGAAAGAGCGCAGAAGCTGGGCGACTGCGATTCCGGCCCGAAGACAAGGGCCGCGACCAAGCGCCGAGAGGGCCGAAAGCGGGGCAGAAATGATGCGATCATCATAACCCCCGCGGCAGAGATGTCCTATAGCGAGGTCCTCAACATGGTCACGCGCACCCATGACTCCAGAATGGCAGGAGTCGGCGACAAGGTGACCAGAGTACGAAAAACGGCGAAGGGCGAGCTCTTAATCGAGCTGAAAAAGTCCTCTGGAGCTTCCCTTACCGCTCTGAAGGAGCAGATTGGGTGTGTGATAGGCGGAAGCTTGCCGATCCGCACTGTGTCACCGCAGACCACATTCCTAATCCGGGACCTGGACGAGCTGGTAACCAGGGAGGAGCTTGCGGCAGAGCTCGCCTCACAGGCTAATCTTCCACCTGGCTCCGTTTCACTTAAGAGCATCCGCTCCCTCGCTAGTGGAGGCCAGGTGGCAACTTTCTCGGTCGCAGAGACAATGGCTGGTTCCATAAATAGTCTCGGGAAGGTGAAAGTCGGTTGGACGAGGTGCCGCATCAAGATGGTGGAATCCCGCCCCAGATGCTTCCGCTGCATGGAGCCAGGGCATATAGCGGCCAGATGCACCAGCTCCTACGACAGGAGCAGCTCCTGCTTCAGGTGTGGGCAGGAGGGCCATAAAATAGCCGCCTGCAACAACAGTCCGCGCTGCTTTAGATGCGCCGAGGCAAAGGGTAGCGACACGAAACACCAGGCGGGCAGCCGCCACTGCCCCCTGGTGACGTCGCGTAGTGCAGCCAGAACGAAAAGGGCATGATAGTGGTTCAACTGAATCTGAACCACTGTGCGGCAGCACAGGACTTGCTGTCGCAATCGGTCCGAGAACGCGGTGCCGACATTGCCGCTATGAGCGAGCCATATAGGGTAGGCCCTGGACCATACTGGGCGGTGGACAGCTCTGGCAAAGCTGCTCTGTGGTCATGCGGCATTACACCCAAGAGAATGGCGGACGTTCGCTCGGAGAGAGGCTTCGTGCGTGCCAGGGTGGCAGGCTGGTGGATGTTCAGCGTCTATCTGGCTCCGAGCATGTCTCTGGAGGAGTTTGGGGACGCCGTGGATCGGCTGGCCACAGACGCAAGGTGTCACACTCCGTGCCTTATAGCCGGAGACTTCAACGCCTGGGCGGTGGACTGGGGCAGCTGCCTCACCAACGCCAGAGGCAGGACCCTCCTCGAGGCGTTTTCAACACTCGACGTCGCACTCCTCAACACCGGGGCACAGCCCACCTTCAGCAGAGCCGGGGCGAGCTCGGTGGTCGACCTCACGTTTGTGAGCTGCTCCAGGGGCTAGCCAGTGTACCTGGGCCCTGAGCGATGTCTATACGGGGAGCGACCACGCGGCGATCCTCACCGAGCTGGACACAGAGCGATCGCAGCCCACACCACTGCCCCCCAAGCACGTAGGGGATACAAGGCCGATACTCTGGACATCCAATCCTTCGCAGAGCATATGCAGGGGATGGAAGCAATTGGCTCTGCAGAGCAGATGGCGGAATCTGCCATGATCCAATTGCAGGCCGCATGCGACGACTGCATGGCTGCCAAGCGCCCACTCGTCACAGGGACTCTGTGTATTGGAGGAACGAGACGATCGCCGCGGCCAGAACGGAGTGCATCAAGGCGAGGCGCCGGTATCAGCGCTCCTACCGCTCGAGCTCCCACCTGGAGAGGCGGCTAGAGTTCCATAGATGCCGCAAGGCTCTCAAGGCGGCAATCCGGGCAAGCAAACCAAATGCTTCCTAGAACTTTGCGACACCGCTGACCACGATCCCTGGGGGAAACGCCTACAGGATCATAGTCAAGAAGATCCATGGGGCAAAACAGGGCGCCCCTCACGACGCAGAGAGCATCGACAGGATAGTCGAACATCTGTTCCCGAAGACGGATAACCCCAGAGACACGCTGGAGACTGCGATGCACTCGTTGGAAGGGTTCGAGCCAGTCCTGGAGACGGAAATCCTGGCGGCGGCGATGAGAATCAGGGAGGCGAAAGCCCCTGGCCCTGACCTGGTTCCCAACAGAGCCCTGAAACTGGCTCTCTCGCTTCGCCCGGACTTATTCGCGGACCTGTATGAAAGGTGCCTCAGAGAAGGTATATTTCCTGGGAGATGGAAGGTCCAGAGGCTGGTCCTGCTCCCGAAACCAGGAAAGCCACCTGAAGACCCATCCGCCTACAGACCAATCTGTCTGATTGATGGGGCAGGCAAGGTTCTGGAGCAATTGATCCGGACGAGACTTGAGAAGGCCATTGCCGCATCCGGCGATCTATCTGACTCCCAGTTCGGATTTAGGAAGGCTAAGTCGACGGTGGATGCCATCTCCAAAGTGGTGGGCATCGCAAAAGCAGCCATTGCGGGGCATCGGTGGAAAGGAGGCGCGAAGGAGTACTGCCTGATAGCCACGCTCGACATCCGTAACGCCTTCAACACGGCGAGATGGGGATGTATACTGGATGCTCTATCCAGCTTCGGGGTACCCCTGTACCTCCTGGAGTTGCTGAAGAGCTACTTTAGAGGCAGAACCCTGGTGTACGACTCCGATGGCGGTGTCAGATCCACAGAGCTTTCCTGCGGAGTTCCGCAAGGGGTCGGTCCTGGCACCGCTGTTGTGGAACGCCATGTACGATGGTGTTCTGCCTCCCGCTCCCAGGTCGGACCGAGCTGGTGGGCTTCGCCGACGATATAGCTGTAGTCGCAGTCGACAAATATCTCGCAGGGGCCGAAGAGCTGTGCGACAGGAGCATCAGCCGCATAAATTCGTGGCTGTCTAGTGTTGGCCTACAACTAGCGCCACAGAAAACGGAAGCCGTGCTGGTGAGCAGCCGGAAGAAGGTGGAGGTCGCCAACCATCCGGGTGTGCGGGGCCCCGATCAGATCGGCCAGAGCCATTAAATATCTGGGCGTTATGATCGATACGAGGCTATCCTTCCGCGAGCACCTAACTTTTGCTAGCACGAAGGCCACCACAGCGGTGAGAGCAGTCGGCAGATTAATGCTGAACCACAGGGGCCCGAAGCAGGCGAGCAGGCTGCTACTGTCCAGCGTAGCTAGAGCCAGCATGCTCTATGCGGCACCAGTTTGGGGGCATGCACTAACGACCCCGGCCTATAGTCGTGGTCTGAACTCAGCCCATCGCCTCGCGGCACTTCGAATCTGCAGCGCCTTTAGGACGGTGTCCGACCAGGCTGCGCTGGTCCTAGCTGGGACTCCTCCGCTGGACCTGCTGGCAACGGAGAGGGCCAGTATCTACGGCCAGTCAAACAGCAGGACGCTGACGCCTCGCGAGAAACAGGTGTTTCGCTCCGCGGCGAAAGACGCCACATCTGCAGCGTGGCAAACGCGATGGGAGTCTACGACCAAGGGAAGATGGACGTATCGCCTGATTCCCCACCTGGACAGCTGGCTGAAGAGGAAGCACGGCCAGGTAAACTTTCACCTGACTCAGATCCTCAGCGGCCACGGCTGCTTCCGGAGCTACTTGCGGGAGATTCGGCCACGAGGAATCTGATATCTGCACGCACTGTCAGGGACAGCTGGAGGAGACGGCAGAACACTCAGTTTTCAGCTGCGTGAGATTTGCCGGTGAGCGAGATACGCTGGAGGCCAGGCTGAGAAGCACCATCTCAGTGGAAACGTTGGTTCCTCTGATGCTAATGTCCGATGAGAACTGGCAGGCCGTGTCGGACTACGCAGCGATAGTTACGACGGAGCTCCGAGCGGAGGAGCGACGTAGGAACAGCGAGGCAGCATAGGTCGGGATCGGCGCCCGCGCGAAGCATTGCTTCGCGGCCGTACCGCGCGAGCAAAACGTCCCGATACTTGTGTGACCCAACCCTCTATCCCCACTATTGTATTTAGTCTTTCCCTTAATAAACGAATTAAAAAAAAAAAAAAAAAAAAAGGCGCAAGTTCGCATTGCGCAGGCGTCGGAAGACCTCTTGAAGGTTGGCGACGTGTTCCTCCAGCGTTGAGCCTATGACGATGATATCGTCCAGGTAGGCGAATGCGTGCGGTTCCATGTCAGG